ACTTGGGAGGCAGAGGCAGGCAGATTCTGAGTTCGAGGCCAGCCTGGTCTACAGAGCGAGTGCCAGGATAGGCTCCAAAGCTACACAGAGAAAAAAATGTCTCTAAAAACAAAAACATAAAAAGATGCATTATGGATGCTAATCACACAGAAGTTACAGGATTAAGAAGACCTCCTAACCCAGCACGGGGTCTCCTAGCTTAGCACGGTTCCTCATGCTTGTAATCCCAGCACTTGGGAGACTGAAGCAGGAAGATCATGACTGCTAGGCTAATCAGGGTTATATAGCAAGATCCTGTCTCAAAAGGAAACAGAAGAAATAAGCTGGGGAGATAGCACAGTAGAATCAGGTTTGCTGTTTCATAACACAGATAGGAAGGAACCACAGAGAACTTCCCTCTGGGGAGCCAGGATATAGGAGTCATTCCCAGGCATCGTTAGGAGAGTATTGACATTTATCCCAACACAGGCTTTACCTGACTTATCAGCCTTAGTCTTACCTAGCTCTAACAACAGCCTACATATACTAAAACTCAACAGGATGAGCCAGAATGTTCCAAGTATCATGGCTGCTAGATAAGCACCATAAACAGGTCTGAGCTGAGGGTTGTCTGACTCCCAAGCCCAGGGTTCTGTTCAGTATCCTAGGATGAGGCTTCTGGAACTGTAAAGAACAGAGTAACTGGGGCATGAACCTCAACAATAACCACCACCCAAGTCACTGACATGGGCCCAGAGGCAGTTTATCTGGCTGAACCTTCACCAATTCATCATGGAGAAGGCCTTGTCTTTAACAACCAGATCCACATTGTTCCATCTGCCACCCTACCATTCATTATCCTTGCAAGGGCTCAACCTAAGTTTTAACTGTTAGGTAAACAGAATGAAGTTCAGTCCCAGGGCTAAGCTAAGCCATTCTCATGGGGCATTCCCTGCCTCTATAAAAACCTGAATTACAAGGGGGAGCAGCAGCCAGGGACAGATGAGACAATGCTTCTGTGGTCCTTCAGGGGGCCACCCTGGGAAGGAAGGGCAGGCCAGCAGGCCCCCTTTGCAAGCTGGGGCCCAAAGACCCCAGACCCTAGGAAGTCATTGGTGTTGGCAGGGTTTATTAGGTCTGCCCAGGTTTTCAGAGCTGGGAGCTCCCACACCTGAGGAGACATTTGCCCTTGGGGACCTGTGATAGGCTCCTTCTCTAGCCTTCTGCCCTGCTTGCTAATGGCATTTTGAGTCATTTAGTTGTGAACATAGACTTCAACTTTACATTTGCTCATCTTAGTTCTTGACTTTGACTCTTGAATCTCAAAGTCCTCTTAAATTGCTATGAAAATGAATATGTAAATATATATAAACCAAACATACTGTACCTGCTATTGAATCTATCACAAAGCAACTACCAGGATGGTAGTTTTGTTATTGTTATTCCCGTATTATTTATTACAAGCATTCCTCTAACAGAGTTCAAGAAATTATTCCCTGTGCAGCAACCATGATTGTCTCAATAAGTAAATGTGTATTCGAATACAGCTGTCCACATTCATTTATGTAATGCGATTGTTTTTTCCCTACAAGAACAGTTGAATAGCTGACACACACATTATCTAACCCCCAAACAAAACAAAAACATGTATTTACTATCTTTTTGCAGAAAAGTTAGCCAACATAGTTACAACCATTTGTTTTCAAGATGATGTCCCCCACTTGGTTAACAACTTATGTGTCCTTCCAAACTCTGTCTCTCATCTGTGTATTTCTGAACCTTAAGGTGTAATTAGCCTCAGCAAATGTTGTACTGAAAAGAATCCTTTCCAATCCAATTAGAGCACACACCCCTGAGGACCGAGGCTGAGGGAATCAGTGACTAATGGGAATCTTAAAAAGGGCATTCATGAATCTGAGGTGTTCTCAGCACCCCTGTTCTGAGGCTGCCTCTCCCTCTAGAGGAGGGGACATGCTGACTCAGTCTCCCTGTCTTGCTGCTTCCCACCACTCACTTCAACACCCTGGGCCTTGGCTAGAGACTAGTTTTCCCTTATGGACTGGGGAAAGAAACCCCCTCTTTTAGGATGTTGCCTTATAAAAGTTAAAGTTACCGCTATCATCCTAGAGGGCACAGATGGGTGACAGACATGTCACAGTGATCCTTCTGGTCCTTACAGGGGCCAATTTGGCTTACCCATTTCCAATAAATGAACTGGCCAATGTTTGGGGTCTTCTCTGCAGGTTGACATTTTGTTTAGTTTCAGACACCCATTCATTCACATTTTCTGAGCAAACCTTGAGGGAAGAAAACTAGAATTTTTCAAAGCAATATGACCAACCACTCATGTTGGTGGGCAGCTTCCCACCCCAGCCTTCCACCCAAGTATCCCACCCCAGCCTCCCACACCAACCCCATGGGTTTGGCTTTTCAGATCTGATACAATGGTTTTTAGACTTCCAGCTCCCTGGAGTGCTGGCCAAAGGCCTGGCCTCCCCCATATCCTAGTGACCAAAGGCTGACAACAGACACCCTGCCCCTCCCACACCACTGCACTGCACGTATGACAGCCCTTCCCGTTAAGTATGGCAACTCTCTCCTATGGCTCTTTCTTCGGGCTTAAGGAACATACTTTAGCCCTGAAACAGATCTTTAGAAGATACATATGCTGTGGAATAATTCTTCTATAGACTGTGAAAATGTGTTGCTCTCATTGTTAATAAAAAGTTGATTGACAGCTAGGCAGAATTTTCAGGGACGAGGAATGCTGGGAAGAATAAGGGCAGAGCGAGAGGAGATCATGAGTCTCAAGTCAGACACAGAGGAAGCAGGATGTGTAGAAAATGGGGTAACTATCCATGAGCCACATGGTAGAGCTTAGATAAGAAATATGGGTTAATTTAAGTTGTAAGAGCTGGTTAGTAACAAGCTTGAGCTATAAAAAAAAATTTAAAAAACAAGCCTGAGTTATCAGCTGAGCATTTATAATTAATATTAAGTCTCTGTGTGTTTATTTTGAAGCTGTTGATCCTAACAAAAACTCCACCTGCACCCCCCCCCCACACACACACCAGAGAACTCGGAACGTACTGCTCTCCCCAGAGGCCTGATGGGAAGCTACGTGCAGACAAGAAGCAATACCCATTCTTCATCATCCAGGACCAGGCAGCCCACCACTTGTTCGCCTCCCCCTCCTTTCTCCTGTACGTATCCCATGGACCCAAATCTCAAGCCAGCAGCATCTCCTTTGTCTGGGGGGGAAATCCGTCCTCCTGGAGTTGGCTTTCGATTTTATGAATTGCCCATGAGTGATTTATAACTGCCTGCTTCCTAAAAGGGCTTTCAGCCAGTTATAAATAAAAATACTCAGAGGCTGAGAGAATTCAAAATAACAGCTGTCAAAGGATCAGGGAAGAGGGAGACAGCTTGAGCTGAAGTGGGATGGCAACCGAGCACCAGAAGCCCCAGTGGAATCTCGAGACTCTGGTGGAGGAAGACCAGCAGGGTGCCATTCTTGCTTACTGAAAGCATCCAGGAAAGAGCAGTTAGCAGTCAGATCATCCCAAACGGACCCTGAGCTCCAGTGAGAGCTCAAGTTCATGCACAGAAGGACTCCGTGTGCATGTATGTTGTAAGTCATCATGCTGTTTACACACCAGAATCTGGGGTGGTTTTTGCTGTGCTTTATTTTTAATTTTTAAAGTTGATTGCTATTGTTATTGCAGTGGGGAGGGACTTGTGTGTAAAGGTCAATGAGAAATGTGTAGAATCCATTGTTTCCTGTTTTTATCCACTTAGCCATCTTGCCTATCTGCTTTTTCTTTTTAAACTAGTTTTTAGGACTTGGGAGATGGCTCAAAGGGTAAAAGTGTTGGCTGTGTGAGCGTGAATATCTGAGTTTGGATCTCCAGCACACATTTGTTTGTTTGTTTGTTTGTTTGTTTGAAGGCAGGACCACAACTGTAACCAAAGCACTGAAGGGTGGAGACAAGAGTATCACTGGGGCTTGCTGGCCACCAGCCTAGCTGAAAAGCTCCAGGTTCAGTGACAGACCTTGTCTCAAGGAAGACTGAGAGTGTCTGAGGAGGACAGTCAGCATCCTCTTTGGGCCTCCACTTAGGTGTACGCACTTACAGGCATGCACCCCTACACACACACACACACACACACACACACACACACACACACTACACATACTACGCAATATATTTGCACAGTTTTTAAGACGATTCATCTTATTTGTGTGTGGGGAGTGGTGGTGTGGTGTATGTGCCTCCGGAGGCAGAAGAGGGTGCTGAATTCCTGGAGCTGTTTACAGACAGTTTTGAGCTACCCAATGTGGGTGTTGGGGACAGCTAAACTCTGTGTGGTCTTCTGGAAGAGTAGCAAGCACTCCTAGTCACCGAGCTATCTCTCAAGCCCCCAAATTTATATATATTCAAGATGGGGTGTGTGTGTGTGTGTGTGTGTGTGTGTGTGTGTGTGTGTGTGTGTGTGTGTGTGTGTTCTTAAATAACAGACAATCATCACCTCATAGTCCTAGCACTGGAAGTCAAGATCAAAACCTGTCTGGTACAGACTATGGACACCCCTATGGAGGGCCTCACCCTCCCTGGGGGAATGAGGGGATAAGGGGGGGGGGGTTGGGGGGAGGGCACGGGAGGAGGGGAGGGAAAGGGAGAGGGACCTGGAACTGACTTGTGAAGCAACCTTGTTTCTTATCTAAATTTAAACTGGAAAAAAAAAAACAAAACCTGTCTGGTTTGGTCCTAATGAGGTCTCTTCCTGGCTTACAGGTAGTTCCATTTTCACTGTCTTCACATGGTACTGGGGAAATGGTGTGGGGGTCAAGGAACAAGGGGGAGACTCCACATAATAGGAAAAAGGGGATATTTTCTGAGAGACTAGTATCTAGGATAATGAACTATTGTCTCTCATTAATAAAAAGAACGTAATTTTTAAATGGGTAAAATTCTTGAATAATCTCTAGAGAATATACACAGATGGCCAACTAAGGCTTAGGGCTTGGGATATGGCCCAATGGGTACAGGTTTGCTATGTGAACATGAATATGGGTTTGGATTCCCAGCGCACACATTTTTAAAAAGCACTAATTTTGACCATCTGCAAAAGTTTTCACCATCGAAGATGCTCAACCACCAAGGAAACGGAGCCCAGAATAACAGTACATTATCAACCTGCTCAACAAGAGGGAAACCATGCCTGGTACTGGAAACCTAGCCAACTGCTAGCGAAGTCATGGATCTTGGAGGAGAACCTACAACTACCACTTTACTAAGCCAGCATCATCCCTGACTACATTCTAACCTTGGTCTGTATACCAACAGGTAGGTGTAGTCCTCACCCCTCATTAAAGAAACTTCTCTTTGCAACAGACAGAAACCATTACTGAAAACCACAACCAATCAAAATGCAGAGTTATAGAGCCCAGTCCCATACTACCACACAACCCCTGCACCTAAGGCTCAGGAGGCATTGTGGGAGAGGGAGTGGAAAGATCATAAGAGCCAGAGGAACATCCAGTGTGCTATGGGACTGTATCTTCTAGGAGCATCAGAAACTGCATCTGTAAAGGCTCACCAACATGACTGCCTAAACATGAGCCAAACAGGGATGACAGCAATACATGAATCAAAGAGGACAGGGAAACGATCATGAGGCCTCAAGCCTACAGGCAACTAAGGAATGCTGAGAGTGGGAATACGGTCCTCTCTAGCAAAGAGCATACATATTAGTTATCTGATACCAAATGGTCAGCTTTGAAGACACACACATCATACAAGAAACATTACCTAAACTGAGTAGATTGTATTTATGTTTATACATATGCATATATATGACAAAATTAATGAAAAAAAGAGGCCATGGATTTGAAAGAGAGCAAGAACATATGGGAGGGTTTGGAAGGAGAAAGGGAGAGGGGAAAATAATATAGTTATAAGCTCAAAAAAGCAATATGAAGAATGCCATAACAATTCATTATAGTAGCAAAACCTCACAAAGTCTCACGAGGATGTAAGAAAATCAGAGAACATATGTTGTTGACAGAAACAGTAAATGGTGAAAGCATTTTGCCAGGTCTTTTACAGCAGGGGTTCTCAAACTTCCTAGTGCTGTGACCCTTTAACACAGTTCCTCATGCTGTGGTGACCCCAACCATAAACTTTTTTTGCTACTTCATAACTGTAATTTTGCTACTGTCATAAATCATAATATAAATACTTGCTATACAGGATACTTGATATGCAACCCTCAAAGGGTCATGACCCACAGGCTGAGAACTACCACTTTAGAGTCTAAAGGTTAAACAAAACCACACTGATCAATCAATTCCACTCCTTCAGTTTACCCAGAAGAAAAGAACCTTTGTCTACCCAAAACATGTACACAACACCCACAGCAGCCTTTCCTGAAAAGGTGAACACATACCAATTCTTATTAATTAATCAGTGACTAAACAATTAATTAATCAATAACTGTAACCATACAACAGAATACTATTCAGTCTAAAACAAGTACATGCTGGACTAAGCATGCATCTGGGGGAGGGAGATACAGAGATGGCTTAGTGGTTAAGCACACATTGCAGAGCACCTGAATTCTATTCCAAGCACCCTCATCAAACAGCTCACAACCATTTGTAACTGCAGGTACAGGTAGATCCAATGCCCTCTCCTGGCCTCCATAGGTACTGCACTCATGTGCACAGAACCCTTCCCCCACACATATGTAATTAAAAATAAAAATAGCAAATGAAAAGATGAATCTTCAAAATATTATGCTAAATGAAAGAAATAAGTTCCAGAAGACATATTATATGACTTCACTCATATGAAACTTCAGAATTCAAAGTAAATTGTGGACACAGGGCAGGGGGACAGAAGGAATGAACAGTGGCTGTTAACATGAAGACAGTGTCTTACTCTGAGGAATTAGACTGTGATGATGACAACATATCTCTGAATGTAATAAAAACCAGCGTAGTCACTTAAATCAATGGGCCATATGGTGTATGAATTACATATTAATAAAGCTGGTTTAAAACTTGAGAGGGAGTAAAGGCAAGCTGACCCTATATTTTTACTTCTGTGGGAAAGTTCCTCCAACCCAAGGTGTGGACTGGAGCCCAAGTTCAGAGAGAGTGCTTGCCCGCCATGCACAAGGTCCTGGTTCACTCCCCAGCACTGCAGAACTGAACCAAAAGATAAAAGACAGTAAATGAGATAGGGTCCAAATCTTTAAATGTACCTAATGCAAGAAAAACGGAGGAGAGAGGAGGAGTTTGCTTCTCTGATGGGATCATGTTGGAAGGTGTGAAGGGGAGACAAGGAAAGGCTTGAAATAAGAGGGACAAGAGACACGGACGAAACAAAGCTACTGTAGACAGGCAAGTACAAGCAGGGCCAGTGCCAATGAGGATGCCACAGTCTGGAAAAAAGGTCACAGGTGCATTCACACGCACGCGCACACACGAGCACGCACACACACACACTCACACACACACACCAGTTCCAAAGTATATGCAGTTTCCCATGGGATGCACTTGGAATTCTGCCAGCAAAGGCATTCACAAAGATGAGCTTTATGAGGACAGGCACAAATGGAGACTGTGTCATGCAGTTCTCACCCTGAAGTCTCTATGAATAAACAAAGACAGGATTTACCCCACAGTCAGAGATTCCCAGACCTCTTTCATCCTCATCTGTAGGGAAAGAGCGGGGAAATGGACTGTGCTCTATTCCAAACTCACTAGACCATTCCTCTGGGATTTTAGCTGAGAACTTCCCAGAAGATGCTCTGGCTGCCTCTCTGTCCATTTCTCCCAACGTGACCATCACGGTGAGAAGATCGCCTATTACCCTGTCCCCTGGCTTAGGCTACCCTGCTGGTGATGCATAGGCTCATCAGGAAAAGTGGCTGTGACCTGTGAGCTGCACACAATGTTGGCTCCCTGCCAACTCAGCAGAAGACAGAGGACCAGAGACATGTCTGGAAGGTTTTTGTCCTGATCGCTCTTCTCCCAAACTCGAGGCTTAGCCAGAGTCCAAGCTGCCCAGTGTGCCTGGAATGGCCTTTGTTGTCTCCCAAGATGGCAGACTGGAGAAGTTGGTGTTGGGTGCTTCCAGCTCTGGGTACCATAAAGAAACAGGAAGCAATCCCATGAGGGAGAACACACAGACAAGATCCTGCAGATTCCAAGCATGCTGCACCAGTGCTCGGTGGGGAGCAGCCCCTGAGCTCCTGCAGGGCTCCTAAATGTCCACCATTTAAAGCAGCGGCAAATGAATGTGGTTCTGTCTCCAAAAATAGTCTTAAGAGAGTCTAAAATCGCCTTCTAGCCTAAGCCGGACCAGTCCCTCGGGAATGATGTCGCTATTTCTAAAACATCCCTGCTTTCCCAGCACGCCTTTGTCAGATCCCAACTTCCATCTGGGCTCTCCCAGTCAGTCATTCCCCTCCTGCCTGGTCCCTCTCTACCCTGCATTGCCTGAGCTATCTCTCAAGCAGGAAATTCTCAAATTGTGCCTTCCTCTTGATGTTACTAAGTTTGAGACCTTTTAATCTGGCACGTGGCTTAGGAGAGCAGAAACAGTTCCCTTGGAAGCTCCTAGAAATTTGGAGGTACAGAGAGGAGGATAAGGAGTTCAAGGCCAGCCTTGGCTACATAGAGAATCTGAGCCCAGCCTGGGCTCTATGAGACTCTTAATAAAAATGATAATGATGGTGAAGATGACCATGGTAATGGTAACAATAATGACAACAATGAAACAAATCTTTTAAAAAAATAAATGGTTCCTTGGAGAAGTGACCTGTAATGCAGTTGTGATATCATTCCTAAGAATGAAGGTTGCAAAGTAAAATCATATTCCCACAGAGGCTGGACCTCTCTAATAGACATATTCTGTGAAGTGGGAGATAGTTCTAATTTGCTTTCTCTGTATGCAAGTTTGTCTGTTCTGGAAACATACAGTAGGTAATTTCATGTTTGGCTTCTCTCACCTAATCAATTTTTTGAGGCTAATCTGTGTTGTAGCATTTACCAGAACCTCTTTTCCTTTTATATAGCTGAGTAATATTCCATTGTATAGATACACCACATTTTGTTTGTCCATTTATGAGATCATAGACATATGGGTTATTTCTGCCTTTTACCTGTAAGAAATAGCACTGCTGTAAGTATTAATGAACCTGCTTCTGTTGAAACACCTACTTTCAGTTGTTTTACGTATATGCTTAAATGTGGGACTTTCAAGCCAAGTGACTTAATTCACCACCTCTCATTCTCACAAGCACAAGTCGTCTCAATTTAGATGCTGTCATGAGAGGAAAGGCCAAGGCTCTTTAGTGGGATTTCATCATTGTTTCCCTGTCTTTGTAGCTCCTTGAAGGGGATTGTTTTAATGCCAATCTCTTTCTGTTTGGAACCTTTCCATTGTACAAGGTATTTCCTGTCTACTGCTGAATATACTCAGACAGCAATACTGCCAGGCAGATGCTGTTAGGGTTGTCCTACAGACGCAGAAAGGACTTGTCAAGACCACATGGCCATGAAGGTCAAGCCAAGACTGACACACCAACCCAACCCTCTCTACACCAGCACAGGGCCCTCTGTCCATCGGTCTCTCTGTCCAAGGTCATTCTGAAATTGTTGGCCTTTCTTGAATTGGTTCTCAGATCACTATTGTTCAGATACAGCCCCTGCTGGGTGGTGGGTCAGGGCTGTCACAGGCTTCTGCTGACACTCTGCCAGCTGGTACCTCCTTAATATGCTTTAAATTTTATTCTGCAGTACTGGAAATGGAATCGGGAGGCCTGGACATTCTAGGCAAGTGCTTTGCCACTATACTATATCCCCGGCACACTTTCAACGTTTTAATTCTAAATCAGGATCTCACTAAGTTACCCAGGCTGACCTTGGATTCACAATCTTCCTTCCTCAGCCTCTCCCATAGCCAGGGTCACAGGCTTACACCACTAGGCCTGGGTGGTATCTCATTTCTAACCTGCCCTTTCTCCTGGGGCAGATCCTGCCCAGACCTGAGAATAATGCGTATTTTTCCTGGGTGCTCCCCTACTCTCTTAGATCCTAGTTGGGTGATCTTATCTCATCCTACTACCAAAGTGACCCTACCACGGCCCACAGCTCAGCCAAAGCTCTATAGATTTCCTCCCTGGCCTTTTGTTGGACCCAGGAGTGTCTCTTCTCTTCCTATGGAAACATCAGCTCTTGAATGAAGATGTCTCAGTGACCTTGAAACCAATGTGATGGAGCCATGCTGGCCTGTGTACTGGAGGCTTTTAGCCCTAGTATTCCACATTGGCATGAAACCAGGAGACAGGCAAGAGGTGACAGGACATAGTTCCAACCTTCCCTGTCCATAGGTGGCCTACCACAGGCCTGAAGCTTGAGACACACAGCTTCCTATGGGTAGACACCATTTCAAATAAGGAGGCTGAGGCTCCATGAAGTACCATAGTGTTTCCAAAGTCTCAGAGATGATGGATGGCTATGGGTATTAAGAACACTCAGAGCCCATGATTTCCCTATTCTCACCTACCACTGGCCTTCCAAGCAGGAGCTTTGGGGACTGATCTGGACTTCCTCAGTGGTTCTGTAAGAGCTGAGGATCCCCAGGTACTTGGAAATCTACTCCACATCCATTCAAGCACAAACACAAGACTAGCTGTTCCCAAAGCATGGCAAAGTGATGAGCAGAGCTCTAAACATCAAGAGTTCACATGCCACTCCATCTGAGGACATCCCAGAGCACTTGGGACACAGATGCACAACATAAATCTCCAGAACAGGCAGGGCATAATATCTTCCAACCTTATTTGGTCAAGTCATTTTTTTTCTAGGCCAAGTGACCCCTGTAAAACACAAGAGTGGGGTGCCCTAAGGCCTTTTGGATTAGATGGTATCTGGAGGTGAGAGAGGAAAGTGGTTGTCAGAGTGACTAGATCTGTGTCACCCCTGGGCTGAGGGTGGCTTCCTGTAGAGATGGCTCCAAGGTACCGGTGCTTCATAAGAAAGCTTGTAGAAGTAACTCAGAGGAGGATTAATGTCACTCTAGCTCACTTGCCCACTGGGGATGGCATAAAGGAGGAGGATACATGGGGTCATCCAGGAATTTTGACATTGCTGGATACACTTTCCATACTGGACTGTGTGTGTCTATGTGTATGCACATGTGCGCATCTGTATGTGGAGTCCAAAAGCCAGGAGCCATTCACCTTGTTCCTTTGCTTGTTTGTTTGTTTGTTTGTTTAGGACAGAGGTTCTTGTTGGCCTGAACTCACCAAGCATGTGCCGTCACACCTCACTTTCTGTGCAGGTTCTGGGGATTGAATTTATCCTCACGCTTACCTAGCAAGCACTTCACTGACTGAGCCATCTCCCGAGAGTCCATACTGGACTTCCTGTCATGAAACTTCTCACTGAGCTTTGAAGGAAACTGTGTTTCCTGAGATCCAGGCATTTTCCGTGTGCCAGGCAACAAATCTGCAGACTGTCACCAGGGCCTGGTGAAGGTGCAGAGTGTGGAGCTGTGCATCTGAGGATTCTGCAGCTGTCCCCAATCCCAGGTGATGCTAACACTATGGTCTGCAGATGACATTCAAGATAACAGGGTAATGTGGGCAGGACTAACTTCTTTATCAGACACAGAAGGACCAGGGCCAAGGTCCCAGGAAAGCACTCCAATTCCAAAATCAAAGGGAAAATAATGGACTTTTAGGTTAAAGAACATATTTCAGTGGATATGTTTATCTTCCCACCAGCCTAGAAAATAACACTTTAAATTTGGGTTTATTTTTCACTCTCCTTAGCCGAGGATGACCTTAGACTCCCAATCCTCTTCCCTCTACCTCTTGAGAGCTGGGATTCCAGATGTGGGTCATCACTCCCAGTTTTATGGGATGCAGCACAGGGCTTGTGCATGCTAAGCAAATATTCAACCAAGTGAACTGCATTCCTGACCTGTAAATATTTTCTGAAGGCAGAAAAGATCCATATAGACAAAAGAGCCTGAGGTCAACACAAGATGCTAATGAGAGTCTGGGGCAGGGTAGGAGGTTGTGAGCTTGATTGTGCGGTCTAATACATGCCTGAAACTGAACTCTGGAGGACTAACTCATAAAAAGCTCTCCAGTGCAGGCTCTGTGGTCCTCAGGAGGCTATAAGAAACAGCCCACCCCAGAGCTGTGTGGGCGTCTGTTGACTGCACAGTCCATAATCCTGGGTCTTCCTGGGTTCACCAGTTCTCTCCGACTCTGGAAACTTTGAAGGTGCCCTAAGTCTGCTGGACTTCTGTAGTTCTGATGTCTATAAGGTCCATCCCTTCCCAGACTGAGCTTCAGGGTCCAGGAGCACTGTTCCCAAAGCCAGACAGCCTGGAGCAACTGAACCTACAGTACGAGGAAAAGGAACCAGGCTCTCACAACTTTGTTAAAGATGCAAACAAGACCATTGGCTCTGACTTGAGCTGTGATTGTCTAAACTGAAGCATGAATCAAGCGTCTTGTTAACAAAACGATGGGGAAATAGGCATTCCTCCAACAGTAAATGTTTCCTTAAACACAGTCTGATGCCAGCCCAGCTGTCCCCAGGGGCACTGCAGGACCTTTTAGAGAGTGAGCCTTAACAGCTGCCTCTTAAACACACCTGCAAGGTCCCTCCTTGTCACCCACACAGTGTCTGTCTCAATTATTGCCCCGAGATGGCTTCAATCACGCAACTGTCAGGTGGATCCCTGTGCCTTGCAGAAACAACAGTCTACAAGTGAGGAACCGAGCCCTTGGAAAAGGAGCAACAGTTTGCTCACAGGCACAGTGTGAGCCAGGCTGAGAAACAGGGATCACCCCTTCTATGTTAGTTTGAGAACCACTATCTTATATGTAGGTTTTCCTCAAAAAGGAGCAACTGCTGAAATCAAAAGTGTCCTCAAAAGAAGTTTTGACTTGTCAACTTGGTTTGGCCTTTCTGCCAACCACTGACTGTTGCTGCCGATCTCATGCTAGTTCATTCGAGATCTTTCCTCTGAAAACTGAGAGTAGGGGTCATTGGAGCCTGGTCAGGCTGGGTCTGAGCCCTAGAGAAATGACCCTCATAGTATAGTTGGTGCATCCATGGAATACAAGACATGCCAGGACTAAGGGTATATACAGGTAATCCCAGCAAGAGGATCATGAATTCAAGGCCAGGCTGGGCTAAGATTTTGTCTCCAAAACTAAACAAAACAAACAAACAAAAAAAGAAATACAAGATAGCCTGATAGAACACAGGAAAAAGCTTGGAAACTGTTTTCTATTTTTATTTTTAAAAATAGAAACAAATAAACTTCCTTAATATTTCATAAGTATTTCCCAGTGGTGACATTATGTATCTATATGTTGAAAGGTCACTGTCATGATCACCATGATGTCTGTCTCTACGATAGTTGTTCTTGATTGTCAACTTGATTGGGTTAAGAAACACCTAGGGCATGGGTGAGGCATACCTATGGGTGTGCCTGTGGGGGTATTTCCAGAGAGAAGACCCACTCCAAATGTGGGCAGCACCACCCTATGGGCTGGGTCTTGAACTGAATAAAAGGGAGAACAGAGAAAGCCAACTGTACACCAGAACCCCCTTTCTCTGCTTTCTGATCTGCCCAGATGTGAGCGAGCAGCTCGTCCTCCTGCTGCCACAGCCCCAAGCTGCTCCTGTGGCCATGTTTTCCCACCTTTTGTCCAAGGGAACATCTTGTGGAGCTAAGGTTTGATTTCGGATCTCCTGTTCCTTTTGGCTGCCTCTGTTGAATGTGGCAGTGCCTGTGAACTCTAAGGGCAAAAACCTTGATGAACCATAGACAGTGACACAAAAGTAACTATGCAGGACATGGCATTTCTTGCCGCCAGAAAGCTCATGATGTTAGACTTGTGTTTTCCTTCCAAACAGAGGAAGGGGCTGTTCATGGGAAAGATTATGAGACCTTAGAAAGGTTGTCACACACTGAGGGAAGACAAAGGAGAGGGACAGAGTGAAGCCGGCCTGGGCTGGGGATGCAGGTGCCCCAGGTTCATGCTCCAAGAGTCAGGGCCTCTGTTCTGAGTAACTGCACTGGGGCCTTCTGGGATTGGCTCTTGAAGAAGGGGAAACAGAAGGCTCAACATCCTCCCCAGTCCTGAGTCCAAGTGTGTGAGTTACAAAGAGACACAAGCTGGA